TGCTCTTGGATAAAAGTCTCCAGATTGCAGGGGACTAGACTGGATATGGCATACTGGTGATCCAAGATGGAGTAGATGCTCACCTGAAGAGAGAAGGTTAACTGGAGCTCTGTTTCCACCAGCCCACTAGCTGGAAGGAGGATCTCATTGGAGCGAAGAATCCTTTTCGAACCCTGAAACCAAGGAAAAACTGTCAGAGCTGTGTCACCAAAAATCAGACCAAAAGAAACACTACATTTGTCAACGACTTTTAAACGCGAGATTCTTACCAGTCCCGCTATTTCACCAGTCTGCTTTGTTCGTGTTAGAATCGAGGCACCACATATCATGCTGTACGAACGTTCAGAAAGGGTTTGCACATACGAATGCTGTGTTATTGCATTTGAATTCTCCCAACACTCCGGAGGAAGAGGCGGGCAGGTATGAGCACCCCAGGGAGTGGCACGACCTCCCCGTGCTCACCTCGGCCTTGCTTCTTCCTCTCTGATGAACTCTTCAGCTGCACTGTCTTATCTTGGGCCTTTTCAAACGCTTTTTTTCTCTTCTCAGATGCTCTTCCATGCTTCTATACACAGCTAATCAACTTGTCTTTCAGGTCTCAGCTCAGATATAATTTTTTTTCCAGGAACCTTTCCTTTTGGTCCCTCCTCCCCGCTTCAACTTCAACCAGGCTAGACATCGCAGTGTTTTCAGCCCCTGCCAAAAATGAAGTGAGGCTAAGCTATCCCTAAACTATAAAAATAGATCAGTCAGGAGGGTCTGAGGAATGCCAGTAAATTTGTATACACTATTTTTTTTAAAAAGAAGTTTATTATATTTTTTCCTCTCCTTAATCCCCCCACCCCCCACCACTTCCACCTCTGACCTATGGATGTTGCCGTTTCCCCTTAGGAACTGGATCTCTGAAGTCGGGGTGTCTCCTCCCACACGCTCGGGGTACACCTGGGGTATGGTCTGTGGCTCCACCTGGGATGTGAACCCAGGACCTTCTGCGTGTAAAGCAGACGTGCTAACCACTACAGGATGGAGCCACTCCAATGTTTGATTTAAATACAGTGAGGTGTCCAGCTCTCCTGATGAGTTGATAAATTCATACATCTGTGGGCCCCACATCTGATCAAGATGCAGACCATTTGTATTGCTCCAGAAAAATCCCTTGCGAACCTTCCTGGTCTTGCACCTCTCAGAGGCGAGCACTATTCTCATTTCCTTCACTATGTGTTAGTTTTTTTGCCTGCTCTAAACTTCCATAGAAATGGAGCCATCCAGCACGTGCTGATCTGACAGGGCTTCTTTTTTGCCCAGCACAATGCGTTTGGGGTTCACCCGGTTGCCGCGTGCATCTACAGTTCATCCCTTTCACTGCTGAGTAGAATCCCACTCCATGGATGTCACACCACACTATTTACCCACCGTCCTGTTGCTGCTGAGCGTTCACACTTGGGTCGTTTCTAGTTTTGGCCACTATGGCTTAAGCTGCCGTTCTTGTAAAAGGCTGTGCAGATATATGTTTTGCTTTTTCTTGGGCAAATGCCCGGGAGAGCAATGGCTGGTTCTCAGGGCGGATGCTTAACTTCATGAGAAACTGGCAGACCGAGCTGCGAGGTGCTGCTGCCACCTCGCGCTCCCAGCAGCAGGGGTGGAAGGGCTCCGGGTGCCCTACCTCTTCCCCCGCACATGCCCAGCCTGGTCGGTCCTGGATTCGTGGATTCTGAAGGGTTTATCCAGTGAAACAGCACTGTGGCTGCAACATGCAGTTCCCTGACGACCAACGATATTGAGCGCCTTTTCATTCGTTTATTGGTCATCTGTCAACCTCCATTTATGAAGTACGTGCCTAATCGAACGTCTTTGCCCACACTGCTTATCTTGTTATTCAGTTGTTTTATTTATACACAGCACTGTCAGATATATGTGCTATAATATTTTCTTGCCTATTCATTTTCTTAATACTTTTGATGAAGTTATTTAATTTTTATCTAGTCGACTTATTATTTTTTTCTCTCATGGTTAATGTATTCTGGGTCCTAGCTAAGAAATCTGCCTACTCCAAGGCTGTGAAGCTGTTCTGCTGTATTGGAGCAGATGTTCTGCTATTTTTTTCTTGAGAAATTAAAATTTTTTTAGTTTTTACTTTTAGATTTCTTATCTATTTCTAATTTTTTTTATAAAATGTAAATTTTGTTTAATGGAGGAAGGAAAATCTCCTAAATACATTTCACAACGTTTTGTAATTAGAAGAGCATTATATCAAATAAAGATAATAAAGGAGACTGCTTCATCCGTTAGATCGTGTTTTTTGTACTAACCTCTATTACAAACAAGAATCTTGACAAAGTTTTCACTTGAGTTTATTTAGGCTCTTTTGATTCAAAAAAACCTCTGTAAAATGAATCTCAGAAATGCTCGAAGAATCCAACAGGTGGTTTATATATGGCAGTGATTTCAACCAGAGGTAGGAGACATTTGCCAGTACTTAGAGATTCTTTGGCTGTTACAACTGGCTGTGTGTGTGTGTGTGTGTGTGTGTGTGTGTGTGTGTGTGCACACGTGCGTGTGAGTGTGAGAGAGAGAGAAACAGAGAGAGAGGGAGGGAGGGAGGGAAGGAGAGAGGGAGGGACAGAGGGAGAGGGGGAGGGAGAGAGGGACACAGAGATGCCTAAAGGGCAGAGGCCAGGGTTGCTGCTGACCTTCCTGCAATAAAAGGACAGTCCCCACATGTGAAACCTGATCTCCCCCAGACCTGCTTCCTGGGTGGCCCTCTTAAATGGTGGCTGCTTTTCTCCTACAACATATTTACCACTGGGCTTGGAGCTGGGGCAGCTGTCCTCTTGCTCCTCATCACCAGCTACAGAACAACAGCCTCCTTTCCATCTCCCTAAAAAATCTCCTTCTGAACTGATGTCACCAGTTTACATCATCCCCGACTCCTTGCTGCTGCTGTCACCTAGAATGGCGAATCAGTCCTGCTCATTTCTTGATTTTTGCTCCTCATTCTCCCCCAACCCGGCTCCAGTCCTGCTCATTTCTTGATTTTTGCTGTTCCTCTCCCCCAACCCGGCTCCAGTCATAATCGTTTTTGATTTCAACATATGCTCTTTCCAAAATCCTGGACTGTAAATCCCACAGGACTTCTCCTCCAATGATCTTGTCCTCACACTTGTCTGAGCCACTCACTTACGTGATCACACTCGGGACCTTATCATTACCAATAGTTACAACCAATACCTAATCTCGGTTTCATGCATCCCACTCACTCTCTGCTCAGCATTTCCTATCCTTCCAGCTCATTCTCTCTAGCTTGTCAACAGTGATAATCCCCTAACCCACCAGGGCCCACCATCCACTGACCCTGCATTGTCCACTCCTCCTCATACCCCCGTTGTCCCTCCTTTCCTGCTAACCCAGCTTAAACGCTATTGTCCGTCTTTGTAAACATGTCCTTGCACATGCCCTTAACGCCTTTGCCCACTATTGTTCTGATACACTCATCTGGTAAGTTACAACCCTGTCTAAATCCAACTGCGCCAGCCGCGCTTGCCCGGAGAGTCATATAACCAGTCTGCCTGTTCCGACTTTAAATTTATGACTGCAGATCTGACGTGGGCCTTCAGTGCTGCCCGGCAGTCATCCTGTATTCTCCAAGACCTTTCGCTTTCCCACTATTAGATGATGATTTCACAACTTCTCGTTGTTCCTCAAACCTCCAACACCTCCTTAACCCTCCCCTCTCTCTCAGCGAATAACCTTGATTCCGACTTTGCTGAGAAAACTGAAGCAATAGGTAAAGAGCTCCCACAACTCCCACCACACTTACCTACTTACCACGTTTGTACTCATCCCCTCCTGCCGCCTGGGACACCGACGAACCCCTGCTCCTGGCCTGTCGACGGCTCCACCTGCGCACTAGATCTCACCCCTTCTCACCGACTCAGAGACTGTTCTAGGCAATCTTTTCTCTCCCATGTCACCGACTTTCTTCTCTGTCTTGGATCATTTCCATTAGCAAACACGCTGTTATTTATCTCATTAAAAAAAAAAAAATCCTCTCTTGTCCCCATATGCCCTGCTGGCTACCATTCCCGACTCTTCAAGAGTCGTCTGTCTTCACTCACTTGAAGTCTTCTCTTATTTCTTCTTAAAAGTACCCGAGTCAGCCTTCCTATGCTACCGTTCCACCCGAACAGCTACTGACAAGGTCTCAACTAACCTCCACTTGGAGGGATCTGATAGTCGTTCTCATGTTCCTCAACTCACCTGCAGCTCTGACGGGGCGACCACTCTCCTTCCAACAACACTCCCTTCACTTGGCTTCCAGAACGGCACAGCCTCTGCCCCACCCCGCCATCTGCCCAGGCCCCTCCCCTCCTCCCTCACTCCCAAACGCTGCAGGGCTGGGGCCTCGATCCTCGATCCTCGATCCTCGATCCTCGATCCTCGATCCTCGGGCTTGTTCTCTTCTCTGTATCCACTCCTCCACTCCTGGTGACCTCACCCAATCTTCTGGTCTCAAATACACTGATGACTCTCCAAATAATTTCTCTCCCCCAGACCTCTCTCCTGAACTCCAGACTCCTATATTCAACTCTCTATTCAATATCCCTGCCTGGATGTCTAATAGGCATCTCGAACATAATATGATAAGCTAAATTCTGGATCCTTCCCTCTGAACCTGCTTCGCCCACAGCCTTCCCCATCTCACTTAGCGGCATTTTCACCTTACCAGTTGCTTAAGCTAAAACTCTGGCGCTGCCCTCATCTCTCGGCCAGAATCGCTGTCGTTGCCTATTAACTGGTCTTCCTGATTCCTCTTTCCTATCTACAGTCTGTTCTCCACATGACAGCCAGTATGGTCCTCTCACTTCTGTCAAAACTCTCCGACTCACACAGAACGAAAGCCAGAGACCTCGCAACGATCCGCACACATCACGTCTTTAGCCTCGCCTCCCACCCTCTCACTCCTCTCCAGCCCCTCTCGCCTCCTCCTCCTGCCTCTCATTCTGCCAGACAGGCCAGACACAAACATCCCGGACATATTCCTTGGCTAGTCTCTCCACCTGGAATGCTCTTCCTCCAGGTATCTGCATGGGTTCCTCCCTCGCCTTCTTCAGTCTTTGCATAAATGTCACCTTCTCCATGAGGCCTGACTGCCGCCATGTATAATTTGTGACTTCCTCACCTCTGGCATGCTCCACCCTCTTTCTCTTATTTATTTGCTTCCCCACAGGGCACATCATTGTCCAAAAGCAGCAATCCTCATTCTTTGAACTGTCATTATCCAAATATGTGCTATCAATACTTGTGAACGTTTCTATCCCAGATGCATTATCTGAACTACGAACTTGTTAAAATGGATCTGCAAGTGTAGTAACAGGAGTGAGTGCAGTTAGAGGACCATAACTAGTTCGGGCACTTCGAAAGCATGGTGCGCTGCTGTTCTCGACTTTCCCACCCTTCTGCAAAGATTACGCCTTCATGGGCCCCAGTATTTGCTTCTTCCAGGGGCCTGGGGCACTACCAACTTGGGTCCAATTTCGAAATTATCTTTAGTATTTAACATACCATTTAATACCTATATAACAGTGTATCTTCATCTGAAGTATAGAAGCAAACTAATTTATATCTAATACTACAGTATCATTACTAACAGCACAAAAAAAATACTCCTTAATGATTATTAATATATTCAAAATTAGGTCATTCGTGTTTTAAATGCTTCTTTATTAAATAAAAAAATTCTCGGTGGATGGTCATATAGATATTTAAGAGTGCTGTAGTGATATTTGAGAAACCAGGTTGAGGTTTGGGATGTCTGAGATTGCACTGTTGTTTTTCTCATTTAGGTAATGGAAGATAGACTTCTGCCGTTCAAAATGTTTTCAAGAATGAATTCAAATACACAATTCTCTCATTTACAGTATACAATTCAATGGCTTTTAATATATCAGAGTTGTTCAACCATCAATGCAATCAATTTTAGAACATTTTCACCACCCCCAAAACACACATACCTATTAGCTGTCACCCTGCCGATTTTCTCGTCCCCCTACCCCTAGCCCTATGCAACCACTAATTTACTTTCTTACTCTATGGATTTGCCTATTCTGGACATTTCATATAAATGGAATCATACAATATGTGGTCCTTTGTGACTGGCTTCTCTCCTTAGTGTAATGTGTTCAAGGTTCACCAATGGTGTAGCGTGGATATACTTCATTCTTTTTTATTACCAAATAATATTGCATTGTATGGCTAGACCACAATTATTGATTCAGTCATCAGTTAATGGGCTTGGGTTGTTTCCACTTTTTAGCTTTTATGCTACCATGAACATTTGTATGCAGTTTTGTGTGGACATGTTCCCATTTTTCTTGGGTAATATTCAGGAGTGGAATTGCTAGGTAATATGGTAACTCTATGTTCAACCTTTTGAGGAACTATCAGGCTGTTTTGCAAAGTCTGGAAACTCTGCACCATTTTACATTCCCAATAGTAATGTATGAGGGAGATGGCATGCTTTTACATTTCTGCAAATCTCTTTAATTTCTGATTTAGTAGAAGACAGCCGGATTCTCACACCTGCTTCTGTATTCAATCTGTTGCAAAATATTGTTTTGTTTGAATATATGAAAAAAATCTAGACTCAAAGAGATATGGAGTTAAAAAAAAAAGGAGCATTTAGCAGCCTTGCGGAATATTCTTCTTTGATACTAAACCACAACTCCACAAGTGGTAGTGTTTTAAAGGTTAGCTGCCAACTAGAATATCAATAAGGCTTTTTATACGCTGATATATATTAAAATCCAATAAATTAACAAAAAAAGAACATAAGTGGGAAAAATGGGACATCTGAATAAAGTTTGTAATTTGTTAATAGGGTTGTATCAGTGACAATTTCTTAGTTTTGATCAATGCACCATGGCCAAGAAAGATGCTGACCCTGGCAGAAACTGGGCGAGGGGCGTGTGGGAGCTCCATCGACTACTCCTGCATCTCTCCCGTAAACTTAAAATTATTCCAAATAAAAAGTTAAAAATAAAACTCAATCTATTGACCTGTTTTGTTCTTTGAATGGATCTTTTATCCAGAATAATTTTGTAACCTCATGCACTGGTCATTTGAAAAATACTGGTTCACTGATATGCAGATCTGTCAAATGTTACACATTTCATTATAAAATATTTTTTAAAAAATCATGATCATTACTGTCGCCACTGAGGTCTTCAGAAAAGTCTTTAAGAATTGGGAAGCCGTTAAGCTTACAGTGTCAAAGAAAAGTTTTCCAAAATTTCGATTTTCACTTGAAAGCTCAAATTTTATTTACCACTGGCCAAAAATATTCTCAGTTGTTTCCCTTGAAGTGACAGGTTCTCTCTGTTTATTTTCAAGACAACGCCCAAGTCTGCATAACCAGTTTGCCTGTAAGCCCTTCTTTCTAGTAAAAATGGTGTTCCCTGAAAAAAGCAGCTACTTCAATTCACAACTCCACTGCACGAATACTTGTCTTCGAGACACAGGATTCTTCGAGAGGAAACACAGGGGCTTCGTGCATATTTCCCACTTCATCACACAGAATATTAAAAAGGCGTGGACTGCAGGGCTGGGCTATAATAAATTAACCATTTTTACTGCTTCTTCAAGGACATTCTTAAACAAAACTGGCCTTTTTCCTCTTCCTTCAAGTGTGATGGTAAACAACACAATGACCCGGGTACCGCCCGGGGCAACGGCCTCCGTGTCCACTAAGGACCTGCTGCTCCATCCACCACGTCCTGTGCCTTCAGTGCAAGTGTCACCACAGAGGAAAAGGCAAATATCGCCACAGTATTATCATGCAAATCGTTGTTGACCTCATGTGTCTCCTGAAAGGGATTTAGGGGGCGCAGGGTCTGCAGAGCTCATTCTGCAAGCTGCGGCTCTCCTGGCATGCGAAGGTTCTTAAAGGCAGTGATCTTGGTCTGTTTTGTCCACCACCATATCCCCTGTGCCTAGAACAATGCTTGGCATATAATAAATGCTCAACATTTATTAAATGAATGAATAAATAAGTGACTGGATAAATGAATGTGATAACATCTGTAATTACTTTCAGCTGCTTGGAAGTGAAGCAATAAAAAATTCAGGATATTTGCAGTTTGGGTATAATTTTAAATTTCATAGAATGTTAAATATTTAATCAGGAAATAAAAGAAATTCTTTCTTTTGGCAAAGGCATTTGACTGTGGGGATGGCGAGAGCAGCGGGGAACTTTCAAAACCGTACTAATAGCGTCTGCACTGGAAAGCAACAGCTTTCAGCAAAGGAAACAAGTCCCCCAAACTGGAACATTGCCTGTGACCTAGAAACAGGGTGCGAAATCGGGAGAGGAGGGAAAGACACTGAAAGCTCCCATTTGCATGGAGTTGGTCCGCGCTAGTTTTAACTGGTAGTGTCTGCGAAGGTTTCACAGAAGTGGGAAGAACTCTGCACAAAACGAACAGGGAGTTCGTACAGTGGGGCACACAGAGGTTCATAAGGACTAATCCAAATGTTTTAAGTTTTGAGGACTAAATTAAGATAATGTATGTATTGCAGAAACGGGGCTGAGGGTCTCAATGTATGGCTCACATCCTGTGAGTGCCAAAGATGTGGATTAAAATGAAGCCAGTATTAGTACGACCAACTGCTGCATAATGGCTGATCTGGATACTAAGACATTCTGGTGAGTAGGGAGTTACTATTAGAGTTCACTACTTTTCAGTGAATAAAAATTCAATAAATACATCATTCTTAAGCTGAAGAATTCATTAATTATTTAGTGACTCCGTCATCAGAAAGGACTTATCAGTCTGACAAATGGAGTTTAATGATGACATCAATGACCGGCTCTTTAGTTTCTGATCCCACCTCGGCCACTTGGGAATTAGCTGGCAACAGATAAATTCTTTAAGTTTTCTGTAGCTCAGTTTCTCCCTTCTTTGCAGAAATTCAGGAATGCTTAAGAATACGACTGTGAAAAATATTTTGGGTTCCTTAAGGATACTGAGTCAAGTATTAGGAGTTAAATGTGAGGATTACCCAGAAGATAAAGTATCCCAGTAAAATTTTAATTTCCAACTCTGAAATAATAATGTATAAACTTCTTCTAGCCTATAGAAAGCCTCTAAAGTGCTTCCCGAACCCATGCGTCAGCTTGGCCCTAGAAATCCTGGGAATAAGGCTGAAACTGACATGAGCCACCCTAGTAATTTCTGAATAGTTTACCAAACACTTTAACATCTATATCGCTTGATCTTCATACTAGTCCTGTTAGATAGGGCAGAAAAAAACATTTTCATTCTTCAGATAAAGAAACAGGTTTAAACAAATTGAGTGCTTTAAGTACTGGAACTCGGTAGCTCTCATGAGCTCAACCAGCTTTCCCCTACTGCACTTGCTCTGGCTGAGTGAAGGAACACAGGGGTCCCCATCAGTATTTCTGAAGTCCCAACTCTGAGTCAAAGTCATCCAGCTTCCTTGAACCCCGAAAAAACGATCAACTCACCTGTAGCTTCACAGCAATGACCACTGAGTTAAGATCTTTATCCATTTCTTTCAGCATGACGAGTTTCTTCAGGGTCAGGCTGAACAGCCTAGAAAAATTTAGAGCAAGAATATCCAGTCAAATATAAGGAACTTATGAGAAAAGAGACTGACAATCTGTTGGGGAAACACTGCTTTATCTCAAGTAAGAATGTCAGAATGCCATTCTCAGTCCGAACTGTGTCTTCCTTCAGTAAAAAAGCATCCCTCTTATTTAACTTTTATACTTGAAAAATGTCAAAAAGGTTCCTTATTCCATGAACCTCTGTGGATGCCCATTTACCTCAAGCCAAAACCAACACGGATGGTATGAGTAAAGAAACAGAAAAAAAGATCAATGGAACAGACCAGAACACCCAGAAACAATCTTACAATTATACAGGAAGGTGACGTAATGGCACCTGGATAAAGAATGATGAAATGGGGAAAAAAATTGGATTCATACCTCACACTATATATAAAAATAATCTCTAGGTGGAGTAAATAATTGTGAAAGACATTTTAGGAGAAATATGGGAAATATCTTTCTCTGAGGTAAGAACAGATATCTTAAATAAGACTGAAAACACTGAAAATTTTAATTATATTAAAATTAGGAATTTCAGTTCTACAAGAGACACTATAAGAAGAGTTAAAACACAAATCATGAACTTGGAAAAGATATCCGAAACTCATAATACTGACAAAGGGTCTGAATATAAAGAACTATAATTCAATAAGAAAAAGACCGACAAATCAATAGGAAAGTAGGCAAACGACATGAACAGACGTTTCACGTTTCCAGAAGAGGAAACACTAATTGCTAATAAATATACAAAAATATGCTCAACCTCATTAGGAATCAGAGAAATGCAAATTGAAATCAAAATATCATTTTACACCCACAAAATTGGCAAAACGAAGTGTGGGTGAAGATGTGGCGCAATGGGAACTCATATGCTGCTGGTGGGAGTATCGACTGGAACTCGATCACTCAGAAAACTGTCAGGCATCACCCTATGAGGCTGAGCACATGTGAAACCCAGGAGTCAGCAACTTCACTTCTGGAGAAACCCCTGCCCTGTGTACCAGGAGAAACATACAAAGTGTCCACAGCCTTCAACAGCTGTGTGACTGGGGATAAGCTACTTCATCTTCCCATGCCTCTGTTTCTTTGTCTGTAATGAGGATTCTAATACTAACTCAGAGGGTTGTTGTGAGGATTCATAAATATAAAAGCCCCATAGTAAGATCTCTATAAACTAGACTCTTGTGTTATGCTCATCAGAACCCAAATGGACACTGTCAGAAGGGTAGACAAATGAACTGCGGTATATTCATACAATTAAGTGCTATGTAGAAGTAAAATTGAATGACCTAAGCTTACACATCAACATGCATTAATCTCAAAACATAATGAGTGAAAAAACAAGCCATAGAAGACTATGTACAGTACGATACTGTATCAAACTCAAAACCAAGCGAAAATAAGCTACAAACTGTTTTGGGGACAGACATATAGGGAAATCTGGAAAGAGCATGAGGATGAGACGTCACATGGGGCTGGGATGTGTGAAGGAAACAAAGAAGCAAGTGTGTCTGCGGCACAGTGATGCGGGGAGCAGCAAGATGTGAAGTTAGAAAGGCCGACGGAGGCGGGACTTGCAGAAGAGATCTTCCTATTATGACGGGAAGACAATGAAGAATTATAAACAAGTGGATGATATAAAATGATTTGTGCACATGCGACTGCTATGTGCATAATGGACCACGAAAGGAGAGGGTGGAAACAGGAAGACAGGTTCGGGGGCTGTTGCAGGGCCCAGGTAAGACAGGAAGAAGGTCTGATCTTGAGCAGTAACAGTGGAGATGGGCAGAAGGGTGGAATTTCAGAACATTCTGGAGGACCTGATAGAACTCGTTGATAAATTGAATGCAGGGTGTAG